ATATGAACTATTTGACAAAAGTGTATTGATTTATATAGGGATTTATTGTATGGGTTATTTGCATCAATACCAGTATTAAATAATCGTTTTAAATTAATTTATGGATTTGTTAAAACGTTTATTTTGTTTTATTTGGTGAGTTAGTAGCACTAATTTAGTGCCATTCATAATGCCCTCATCTTTTCAAATGTAAAGTTCAATAAATTATAAATTATTCAAAATAGTATTGAATTTTATATCAGATATTACTTGGAAATTAATAATCAAATAAAATCAAAAGAAATGGAAATTTATTAATAATACAAATCAATTAAACGATTATTGACATTAAAAATTAGCCATAATATTATTCAACAAAATGAAAATGAATGCGTTAATACAGATGGATTCTGTACAGTATTTTATAATTAAATAGACTATTTGCTAATTTTGATAATAAAAAATAAATATTAATCATTTTACTCGTCGTCATCATCTGATGAACCACTGAAACCGCCACCAAAGCCTCCACCAAATCCTCCACCAAAGCCTCCACCAAAGCCTCCACCGAAACCTCCAGCCATTGTACCCCCAAACCCACCAAAAGTTCTTCCGAAACCGTTCATCATTCTGTTGATTAGCATAAGATTTAGTCAAACATATGCCTAATATTTATAATTATTTATAATAAATACAAAATATTAAAACATTATTATTATGTAGACTAAATATTTATATAATGCAATCTTTATTATATACACTATGTTGTTTTGCAATAAAGATTAATATTTTTATAGAAATTAGTAAATATGTTTATAATTTTAATATAAAACAATATTTACGGGTAACCCTTCATTGGCACAGGTATTGGCACGTAATGTGTCTCTTCCTCCGTGTGACCACTACTGCCGCCGAGTATTATAATATCTCCTCCATGGTGCCGACCACTTACTGATATGTTTAATAAACAAAGGCACAGAAAGCATACAAGTTTTATTTTCATTTTTTAAAAAGTTTAAATTAAAATTAATTTCAAGTCCTTTATATACTCTTATTGTGAATTTCTTTAATTGCCATCATTTGTGTGCCATAATTAATGTGTTAATTATTATTATTATTTAACAAGTTACAATCAGTAGTTCCGCGTTAATAATTGCATTGATATTCAAATGTTTGCATAAAAAATAAATGAACTAAAAATAAAAGTTACACAAAGAATTGTAAATTAAAAATAGTGTATATTTCTGAAATAAGTCATTTTGGTATTTATAAAATAGATTATTTAATTAGAAACATTTAAATGCTCCACGAATGTTTTACATTGCTTGTTCATTCTCTTGTTATGATAAATTAAAATTTATAAAATAATTTAATATTTAGACAATACATTATTGTCTTCAATGTATTGTTTTCATTTCATTACTGGATATTAAACGGATGAATGAATTTCTTAATGATTTATTTAACAGCAATTAAGGTCTGATTTTTGATCTCATTTTAATTCAATTTTCAAAATAGGCTAATATTAAATAATAGAGACCTCTGCTTACAGTATAACTATCCATATAAATTTTTACTGTACCTTGAGTACATTAAGTGTAACTTTGTATAAAAAGTACATGCAAAGTGCAAGTGTACATTCAATAACACCACTTATCACTGAATAAAATAATTGCGTGCTTTATCTCAATTGGTTTTATACATAATTAATTTTTTATAAAGTAATTAAATAATGCAAACAATATTCAATTATTTTTTTGTTATTTCTAGTTGCATTTGATTACAAAATTAAAAATACAATATTTGGCTTTTAGTTGATTGAAAAATATAAACGACTCGTAAAAATTGAAATAAAAATTTTAATATTTGTATCAAAAATTATGAGACTATTCTTCATTTACGAGTTGCTGTAAACCTGCCGGTTTGGGCGCTCCGGTAGTCTTGTGGGCAAACATTTGGTCAGAAACTTCTAATGGCAAGAGTTGTGCTAAAAATATAGCGATTTTGTGAAAATTTTTTCCGGGGATCGCCACGTATCTGATCTTCGGGTCAGGATTTCTGATGGCGTCAACCATTTTGTCGATCACTTCATAGATATTATCTCCAGCCGTAGTCAATTTCAGTGTGTCTTTTCTAGTCTTATAGTTTTCATAGTATGCCTGTCCGTACAGTTGCCTCACATCGTCTGAGCTCTCGTTCCACTGTTTCTCTACTTCCCGAGTGAAGTAATCGGGTCCAGCCATTGGTGTCTTATAAACCATGGGCTCTATAGTCGACACTTTGATTCCCCACTTCCGGGTCTCACGTCGGAGTCCATCCGAGAAAGAGATGGCCGCGTGTTTGCTCATTGAATAGATGCCCAGATTCTCGACTGTAAACCGCCCGGCCATTGACACCAGATTCACAATACGGCCTGAAATTACAGATTAGAAATAACATTGAATTTAATTGAAAGACATTAAGGGTAAAGAAAAATCAAAATTCAATTTAATGTCAAACTCGTCACTATAAAAAATATAGCGAAACTATATCTAAATAAAGTTTGCAATGATTAGGAAGTTATGAATTATGAAAATTAATTTTGTTACTAACCTTTTGATTGTCTAATCAATGGTAGGAAAGTTCTGGAGACCCTAACCATACCAAATGTGTTGACTTCAAAAATACGTTTATAAGTGTCTACTGTTCCCCAGTCGAGTGGTCCCAGTGTTATGATACCGGCGTTGTTGACCACTGCCCACAACTGCTCCCCATTTTGAGTCAAATCCTTCTGAATTTGTTCGTAAACTGCTTTCACTTCTTCATCACTCGTCACATCCATTCTCACGACTTTGGTTTTGCCTTCAAATCGTTGTCCAGATATGAGTTTCT